TTCAAATCTTTTAACTCCAATACACTTTTCGTCACATAATCTGGTTAGCCAACGCTAACTCTTTTCATCTAGAATGCAAACCCTTATAATATCCAAATTTTTCTTATACACAGTACTATCTCTTTGTTTCAAATTCATCACACTGATTGCATTTATCTTATGAACTGGTCACTGATTCACTTATTCTTGAACTCTCCTATAATTCTAGCCACACCCTTAGATCTTTTAACTTTCTTATGGTGACACTTGTTCACCATATTCAATCGGATCCATGAAATAATAAGAATACTTCATATCACTTTTCTGATTCAGACCTGTGAAACTTTCTATTACTATTCTAATATGATTTCAACTTTCTGAAATCAGTCTTTGATCTTATGAGGCACTTCCTGAGGTGTCTGCTCTTCCCCCTGCCTGGCCAGGGCAGGTGAATTGCTATCACAATCAGGAATATCGCATCTTACTTCACTTCGAAATTACTATAATCATACTTCTATTAGAACGTAGCAATCTAATTCTATTAGCAAGACAACACACTCCTTACACTATCAGATCAGAAATGTTTCACCTTATGTTGGCATGTACACATTTTATGACACTTTAAACTTCGGTTTATGCCGAGAATCGACTAAACCTTAGCTCTGATACCATTAAATGTAACACCCCCAACCCGTATCCGACCTGGATACGAGTCCGAAGTGTCACATTGACTTTTCAAACATTTATTCGTATAAAATAGTGAGTAATTTAAAAACTTTGATAACACTTAACTTATTCAAAACGTTTACAAAATATATCAGAGTTCATACAATTTATATCTTTAGACTACATGCCAACTACACTCTATAACCAGTACATATATTTTCTGATCTGACATTTGGTAAGGAGAACTGACCTGTCTTGCTCCGCATTACTCTTTACTCTTCTCGAAACCTACGTGTGAAACAATCACACGCTAAGTCGAAGACTTAGTGAGGCATAACAACTTATAATGCACTTGATAACATATATCAATACATGCATGTTCTGTTCTATCATGTTATACCAATTCCATGCATTCTTCGTATCATATAAACTCATATCAGATTAATTACAGTAAATACATACATACACATGATTCATCATTAACAGTTTATCATGTAGTCACATACTTTTATGGTTAACCTTTTCAATCAAACACTATACACACACAACATCATATCATTTCTATAACATTTATCATACCACTAACATATATTTGTTCATATCTCTGGATTAGCCCATGTACATATGTGAGAACTATCGATATGTGAGTCTATAGAGGTTGTGCACTAATGCTGTCACCACAGCTCATATAATTACACTGAAGTGCCGCGTAGAATTGCACCGTAGTGCCATATAATAATGTCCATAAGGACCACATATTATTCCTTAAGAATTATATACATATACTAGGGATCAAGTATGTGTCTTTCAAGACTTCACACATGTTCCACAGAATATATATATATATCCCGAAGGACCGCGTAGAATTGCACCGTAGTGCCATATAATAATGTCCATAAGGACCACATATTATTCCTTAAGAATCATATACATATACTAGGGATCAAGTATGTGTCTTTCAAGACTTCACACATGTTCCAAAGAATATACATATGTCCCGAAGGACCGCGTAGACCCTCGACTCTTGGCATGCCAACTATACCCCTAGCTCTCATGACACATATCATGGGCATTATCTTTTATATTCTGTTTCATATTCATGTACACAAATCACATTTCATATAATATTGTATCTTCATTCACATATACATGTAATCACGTAGTTCTTTCACATAGCTCATTGTCATATACATCACATATCACATATACATATAAACACATGGCTCATTTACGCTTAGAACATTTCCATATAATTCACATGTCACATATCTCATGTTCTTGTATTCATATAACATATACATGTTCTCATATATTTTCTATCATTTCTCACACAATCACATTTATTCATGTATATTATTTCATCTAAACCGTATAATAATGTCATATACTCATATCACCGAATAACTTCACCTGAATATATCTTTTGTTCATTTCAATGCTTAATTCATATAACACATAAGTTTTCCTTATGTCATTTATGCTAATTATTCATATAATCTTAGGTTATCTCATAGGTAAATGCTACCTAACTGATCTCATTTTCCATTTATACCAGTTGAATCTATTTATTTAGTTAAAATTTTACATAACTCCTATACCATAATTCTCTTTTAAGTATACTTCTTCTCTATAACACTTATCTTATAGTTTAACATCATCATTTATACTCAATTCCCTTCACTAATATATTATTCTCATATTACTTTATAGTCTAACCTTATTTAACTCACCACCCTTCTCTTGTAGTCATATAAATCTATTATATTGATTCTTATAATTGATCACATTTACTATGTAACATGTATGGTCACCTATCATATAACCTATTTCAAATTCTCATGTAATCATATAGATCATTCATATTAATTCCTATAACTTATCACGCTGCATGCATTCACACAAATCATTTAATACATACTATAATATATATCACATATCCCCAAATCAAACATATGCATATGATCATACATTCAGGCCTTCTACTATAGGAAATAGACTTGTCGCAAGTCTTATTTCCGTTAAACATTATAAATTAAATTGTATGCACTCACCTGGCCTCAGTAGTCAATTCCAATTTCTTATCTTTCTCCTTGATCGATCTTACTTGTCAATGGTTCCGGAACTCGTTTAAGCTTTGAATCTACATAATTATACATTTTAAGGCAATTATTAGATACCTACACCTTGTAATTTGATACTAGCAACTTAAACGAACTTATTAAACCCATATTCCCAATTTTCCTTTAGGGGGAATCGGTTCCCTCCTATGGGGGTATCGGTTCCCCCATGACATACTGGAAATTCTTGTTCGTTTGAAGGGGTATCGGTTCCCCTTGAATGGGTACCGATTCCCCTTGCCCAGAAATCATATTTTGAGCTCGAAAATCACTTCATTTTCAGCTCAACACATCATACTTCATTCCCTTTAATATTCCTAACTTTCATACACATACTTAAACTCATTTCTACTCCATAATCACTTCTTTAAACTCAAAATTCTATCATTTACATGGCATTCAAGAATCACACTAAATTTCCAACATGTTCTAAAACCCATTCTATCACTTCATATCTCTTAATTTAACCCTTGATAAGTCAAATTCAACTTCACAATCTATTATCTCCTTCCATTTCAAAAAGTTACTTAAAAACTCATTTTTCTTAATTTCTCATAACTTGTTAATCTTTGAGTTTTAAGCCACCTAAAGCTTTCCTTAATCTTTCTTAATATCCCAAGAATCAAAACAAGGTTTAAAACGAAAGAATTAACCAACTAAAGACCCACTTACCTTATACAAGGCTTCACGGTTGAGAGGAGGAAGAAGAAGACTGAAGAATGCTCTGGAGAATTCTCTTCTTCCTACGTGCTTATTATCCTTTATAAAGGGAAATAAAAATCTTCCCTGAAAAATTACCATAGTACCCTTAATATTTCCAAACTTAATCATTAAATCCAACATCAACTCTCTTCAATTAAATCCATGAACTTTTAACTTATTTCGAAATCGAGCACCTAGTTTTCAAAATTTGCAATTTAGTCACTGACCATGATTTGGGATGTTACAATTGAGATCAGCGTTTGGAATTTATTTCGTTACGCAGGTTAGTAGGTAGAGTGTTTGAGGAGCCTTTTGAGGAGCCGAGATCCATAACAAGATTCAAAGCAGAGTATGTCTCGAGTAAATTCTTAGAGGGCATGTATATGTGTAGATCCCTTTATTTTGTACATTCGAATCGTAACTTTATTTATAATTGTTGGGTTGTATATTTTGATTTACCTATTTTGAGAGCTCCTGATGCAAATCTGTTTTATATAAACATGAGTGATTTCAAGTAATTATTTTATTTAAGAAGTTAAGAAAATTTTTTGTTAGGCACTCTGATGGTTTCGTGTGGCATTCTGATTGGTTAACTGTGTCGTATTGGTCTAGGGTGTTACAATTAATTTTATTAAACATAAAAAATAAATTACAATTAATATTTATAATTATAATCATAAACTAAATATGTAATAAATGACATTTTTCTATCATCATTAACACAAGAAAATTAGTTATTTAACATCGCAAGAGTATCATACAAGAAAAATGTTAAAAAATTAACCAAATATACTCGAACAAAAGGTATATATAAATAGATCTGACCGCATCGGCAAATGAACCATAAAAGGGATTAAATTATTGAAAGATCATCGAAAAAATGTAAATCGAAGTCGAGCAACATGAAACAACTATCCATGAACGCAAATCACATATCCAAATCCAATCCGAGGGTCCAAAGCAGAGAAGATCAACATGATAACAAATAAGCGTCATCTTGATCAGTCATGGCGATGCCAAATCTAGCCTTGAGGAAAAAGATAAACGAAAATAATGACCAGACAACCGAAAACGTATCATAAAGGCAGAGAAAACACGTCATAAAAATAAAATTATTAAAAATTAAAAACAATAAAAGAAAGTAAAGATACACTAGATAAAATAAGAATATAATGAATACCCACAATCGCCGATTAACATCAAAACTAATATCGTCGCCAATTACAAAGATAAAGGGAAAAAAAGAACTAACGATCGTCAAAGAAAATTAAATAAAATTGAGCATTAATCTCTCACTTGTTTGGCTGAAATATTTTTAAAACATTTTCGCTTTCAAAATTAGATAAATTTGATTTTAAATCCTCCATTCTTAATTTTAACAATCAAATTCTTGCCATCATTTTTTATATTTATCCCCAATATTTGTTGCTTGTATCTTAATTCAGTTCCTGCATGCCAATACAAATATCAATTTAAGAATTTTTAAGTTTAAATACTAATTATATAACCCATTTTTATATAATTTATTATAAAAATTTAAGACGAAAGACACAAATTAATTCTTTCACCCAAAGAGACAATTATACATAAGTATTTGAGCAAGCATTGTTTTCCATAAAGAAAGGAAACAGAGTATGCAAATCGAACACCAATCAAAAATTTAAAATGAGATACTGATTCTGAACTTTCAATGGGGTAGTTACATAATACAACCAAGAAGGTCAAGGATTTTATTGGGACTGGGGGCAGGCAGCTGCCCCGATGTAAATCCGATTCTCGATCGCACACATTATGCTCCTCCCGAAAACCAGAAACGACTTTGTGACGATCCAATTTCGAGTTAGTTTCCATCTCGGGGGAAGCCCGCTTTGCTAATTTGTCCCCGGACTCATCGTCGACAAGCGTGTTTTCCTTGACCAACACTCTTGGTTCGAGTTCATCGGAACCGCTAAGTTAACAACTTGATGAACATCATCACTCATCGTGTCACTCCCTTTTAGAGGATTGACTGTTATGTTCATCGGGAGAGTCTGGTACTTTTTTCATTTCCATCTCTGTACTTTCTTCAACTGCAAGCTTAGTTTTAACATCAACATTGCCGCCTGCATCGACAGCTTCCATATCACACTCTTCACGGGATCGGATATTTTTCTCGTTAGCACAGTCTGATGCTGTTTTATTTCCCTGGTCTACTGCATTATAGTCCATAGAGGTAGTGACGTTTTCACTGTCTGAAGCAGATTCGGTTGGCTTATTCCCTGACCGTGAATCAGTCCTATCATCTGATTGATTATCTTTAGCAGGATAATCTAGTCCTGCCTTATTCTGCATTTCATGCGCGTCATGGCTTGGGCTAGGGTTAGCATCATATTCACTACCTTCCCTAGATACATTCCTCGTGTCCTCCGTTTGATAATTCGTAAGTGCAGTTTCGTCATTAGGTTCCGGGGACACATTTGGACATTGGGAATCCGAGTCTGTAACTCTAGTTTCACCATTTATCCTACCCGAATGATTCAAATCACCATCCGTATCATTCCCAGATGATAAACCAGGTTTAGATCCGTTAGCCACCTCGGGTGTGATTTGCTCATTAGTTATTGGATCAGTTTGCTTGGCACCTAAAGGGGCAGATTTTGAGAAGGTTAAGAACAGTAAACAAAACACAATGGAAAACAATTGGCAACAACTGCACTAATTAAAACCTGCGTCAGACGTCATGTTTTCGAGCTTCAGCAGAAACTTCTGCAACATATCTATACCCGGGAAGACCAACATATTCATGGACCTCATTTCTTGCTTAACCGATTCCTCCAGAGCAGTAAAACCAAAAACCCCAGTCCATGTAGGCGTAACTTCAGCAATTGCAGGGATGACTAGTTTGTGAACCTTGAGAGAACGGAGAGCCTTCAGAAAAACAAAAAAAGAACAAAATCGGTGATGCAAGGAACAACCGAGTTATGCGTAAGGCTAACAAGATATACACATACTAACATAAACATATATATACAATCTTTCCTCACGGCTTACCGACTCAATAGCACAGAAAAGCCGTCGAAACATTCCCTGATTCCTGTATGCGTGGCGTGTGCCAATGAATGGCATCTCTGCTAGTTGAATTCCATGGAACCTACACGCGACAATAAGATATCAAATTAGTTAGCATTTATTTAAATGATAGATAATCCAGATGAGTGCACCAAATCCACCCAACCAGTTATATATACTGGAAGAAGTCAGGTGAGCGTGTTTTGTTAGGTGATTCCGGTCTTCACTATGTTTGTCCAACATAATTATTGATCCAACCAAAGATAACTAACTGCAAGAGGGGGGAAGGCATGGCATATCGATTCCTAAATGTTATTTACCTGATTGATGCTGCAGAAAGTATTTCATCGCCTCTCTCCAAAATAGCCGTGTAAAAGCCACCATAATTCAGCCGGTTGAAGTTTGATCTTTAAAAAAAAACAGCAAATTGCAACCAGTTAAGACATGTTCAAAAGAGAATATTATGCCACGGTAACTACAAGTATAATCCAGGAAAGGAATAGACAACAGAAGAATAACCAAGCAGAAAATGAGAATGGATAAAAAGATTAACCTAAATCATAACAAAGCAAGCGTTCAACGTAATTTTGAACTGTTGAATAAAATATATCAACACCACTAAAATATGAAATCTATCCCTCAGATCCTATAGAAAACTGTTATAATATATATATATATATATATATATATATATATATATATATATATATATATATAATTAAAAATGCATACAATCACTATCCAACAGTTTTGTGAAAGCATATCATAATCTGACAAGAAAGGTAATAAAAATATATATCAAACATAGTCTAAATGCTTAAAAACTAAGAGCAATCTCCTAGACAAGGACTACTATGGAGAAACTAATAAGACCAACATCCATTAAAACTCAGCAACCAAAATGCTTACCCGCAATTATAAACAACATTATTTACTAAGTTGATCCCACTCCTCCTGTCAACAATGGGCAAAAAGCATTCATCCATCACAGTCAGAGCAACAGCTAGTTTAGAATTGCATTCCACCCTTTGTGGAAGCCCTCTGGCACATATATCTGATTTTGCTTCTGTTCTTCGAATAAGAGACCATGAAAATCCTCCTCCTAGTTCATGTTTGACCCCTAGATACTTCTGTAAATGCTCAAAGAGCTGTAGAAACAACAAAGGCATTTCTTAATGTTTCACATATCAAATGGCATAATCTACGATCTGGCAGAAAACCCATATGCAAACGGCAAACCTTGATAAACCATTTACGTTAACAACATCATGGTTAAATAGTGAATGCCACATACAAATAAAGTTCCATTGCCAATAGGATTCATAGTAATATTTTAGTTATCCACAACAATAGCAACAAATGCCAACACCATCATGTCAAGAATAAACCAAAGTTTCTTTCTGAGAAACACCATTGCCTTTTCAACCTTTTGATGAAAAATACGCTTAACATCTCTTAGAGATGGTATACAAAGGGCATGATTGCTTCTATAGTAGATTTTTCCCATTTTCTTGGTTTACATCAAATCACAATATTCAGCATTCCAACAAAAGAAGAAGAAAAAAAATCTTACCTCTCTGCATGTTTTCCCACAAAATGGAATAACTAAACGGTCGGAATCAATATGAATATCATCTGTCACTTTGATGCATGATTCATGGTCTGAAAAAGTGAAAGGATCAGAATATTTCTGAAAATAAATCAAGAAGAGGAAACTACACAGCAACTTCAAACTTCAAAGAATTAAGAACACCAAAAAGAAGAGAACGAATACATCTTTTCTCGCATAGGCTGCAAGTGAGAAGGACACAATCAGTTACGTCATCCTCTTGAGCAATGCTGCTGCCGTTACCACAAAACTTGCATATACAATTTGGACAGTGCCAATCACCAGCTGGTAGAAACTGTAAAAATGTATATAAGAAAGCTAAGTGAAGCCATTAGGCAGCATTGACTCATTGTTAACAAATTCAAAAATATATATTTTTCAGATAGTAAATACTCTAACCAGAATAAACTTCATCTTTTGGAAGGCAATTAAAAGCCAATGGTTTCAGGTCATCAAAACATACGCCAAAGCAATTAATATATCTAACAGTCATAGTTGAAAATTTCTTGATGGAGGCCGCATTAAGCCACTGAAAAACCATTTCTAACAGAAAATACAAAACACTGCTGATATTATCTCAGGGAGAAGGTCCTAAGAACAGTCAACAAGGAGAACACATTTGGAAAAAGTAGTGTCTTCCAAAAGTTATAGAAAGGAAACTGGTACAAGCTTTCATTTGTCAAACAAATTACATGTCCAACTGCTGTTACTCAGAGGACTCTTCAAGATTGCCCTTAAATTCGATTTGGCTCTAAACACATTTAGGGATCCCAATCCATAAATCAATAGTTAAGACCTTTAAAAGAGCATAACCATACGCTGAAAGGACGAAATTGTATCGCCTAACAACATATTTCGATCAAACTCTGGTCATTAACTCCAATTAACAAAACCAATATCTCTCATAAGGAAGCAAGAAGAGAGTTGGAGTCAGGCCAGGGAGGGGAAGAGAAATAAATAAATAATATATGCAGACTAATTGTAGTAGTTTCCCATAAAGTATTCCCTAAATTCTCAACACTAAGAACAATCTAATTAAAACCTACATAACCTGACTAACTGAGCAGAGGTCTACAAGGAAAACTTATAGGAAAAGAAGCAAACAAGAGACTCAAGTCACAGCCATTTACAAATGTAAAAATTATGCAGAAGTACCTCTATATTTAGGCAACTCTGATGAAATGTTGAGGGGCAACTGTCACAACAAATCAGATCCCCCCCATCTCCACAAATGCCGCAGGTATCATCATTCGGGTCATCACCATTTACATCTACGGAATGAAAACCAATCTGCTCAGACTCCACTTGGCTGTTCCATGCATCTATTTGGCACTGAAGGAGAGAAACACCAGTATCCAAATAGATATTCTGAAATGGCTGTCGCAATTTGCTTCCAGCATGAATCTCAAATTTGGAAACTGTAAGGATTTTACTACAACAACCACAGTGGATTCCATCCCCTGTGATCCAGCCCTCTAGCATCACTTTTGTTCGCCTACGGTTCATATACTGCACCTTTTGGCTCAACTGCGCAACCTCAGAATCAATCAGCCAGGCAAGCAGTGTTCTTTTCCCATAATATGGAACAAAGTCATCACCCTCTGAACTCACATCCACATTAGAACCACGAACCAACAAGGTGCATCTGCCAAGTTTTCTACTTTTTCTTCCATGAATATGATGAGAATTGGATATAGAGGATGGTTTTTCATAGCTATCATGCACCTGGAGAGACTTTTGACCTTTTGCGTATCCACTGAAGGCATGATTATCATTCATCCTACGTTTCATTGACTTACCCTTCATTAAGAAACTCGGTTTCTCTTCATGACTCAAGCTGTCCATACTCTCATCTTCATGCCTGGTACTTGAAGATTTCCTACCGACAGGTTCTTGAGCATCCTCACTGCCACTTTCATCTTTTCGCTTATTTTTCATCTCTCTTTTCATCTTCTTTCCTGTTTTCCTTGTTAATTGGCCGAGTACTTCATCTGGTAATGGGGTAAATGCAGGACCATCACCAGATGTTTTGCGCAGATTGCCCTTATCTAGCTGCTTTTGAAGTGCATCATATGCCTTGATGATGGACCAGTACGCGGTTCCAGCTGGGTTGATGTACACTGCATCCAAGTAATCCCTGTTCCTTCTTGGTCTATAATCTATTGTCCAGCCTGCTTCCTGAAGCATCTCCCGTATTCTTTCACGTAATTTCTGTTTCTCTGTGCCACATCCACGCCTATTTTTTCCTTCTTTGATTCTGGTAGGCTGAAGCTGCTCAACTTGATCTTTCTCTTCTTTGCTACTTACCTTCTTTTTCCGGTTAGAAGTTTCTTTATCCTTTGGCCGAAGCTTCAGAGACGTATCACAGTACTCAGAATCAGAGTCAGAGACCATATTCTTCATAGTTGTTGGCGTCCTTAGCAGATTCGTTTTCTTTTTCTCTTTCCTACCAAATGAAACATGCTTCTCAAGAACTTCGGTATCAGAGTACAAAGGTGAACAAGCATGCAAGTTTCTCCGAACTCTATCATCAATCCTTGAATCACTTTGGCCTTCCTCAACTTCCAAGTGATCAAAATTTCTCAAAGGCTCGCCAACCTTCTTTTTCTTGTTCACCATTACCTTCAAAACACCATTTTTGCCCTGAACCCTGATGGGTTCATCTGAATCAACCATATACCTCTCCCTCAACAACGGATAATGCATCAGAGTGTCATCCCTATCCTTCCTAAACCTGTTTCTATAATCAGGATCACCCCGACTCATCCCTTCACTTTTATCGAAGTACAACGTCACATTCTTCTTCTTCTTCTCAGGAAAAGCATGCCTGCTAGGACCACACTCATATTCTCTCTCAATACTCATCCGACCAACTGCAGGCATCGAACTAGACAGTCTCCTCCCGCCAACCTCTTCCCCACCATAATCAAATCTGTTCGTTCTCATAATCATATCCTCTTCAAGTCCATCATACTCATCAAAGTTAAACACCTCTAACCTACTCCTCTTACTCTCACTCAAATCCTCCCCATTCCAACCAAATAAACCTTTGTCACTTGGCCTCACCCTTTCCTCCCTATTCCTCTTCCTACCAATTTCACTCTCTTCATAAGCTGCTAAACCATTACAAACTTTAATTGTTTCCGGCCCAGCACGCCTTCGAGGTGGCATAACTAGTTCATCGCTAGAACCCGAATCATGCATAATCATCCTAGACCTCCTCTTATATGTTTTAGGCTCGTGAATCTCGTGGGTCCCTGCGGACCCGGCTCCACCCGAACCATCCCCTTTCTTCCTCACAATCAAACACCCCGAATGGCTCCTTTCCTTCACCACACCCGAATGCTCACCAGATCTCAATCGCTCTTCCATCAAAACCAAACCGAAAAAAGAAAAACCTAAATTCCAATTATTTCCCTTAAATAGTCACAAATTCAAAAAAAATCCGTTAAAAACAGAAGAACAAAACCTAAATCTCTCTAATCAACCAGATCTGTAGTGAAAAACTCGCAGAATAAAAAAAGATAGTGAAAACTCGCAAAATAAAAAATATAGTGAAAAACCGGACTGAATTAACATTTCTTTTACAAAAAAAAATTTTAAATGATTCAAACGAGATAATGTCTTGGATGAAAAGTGATAACTCGCTGTAGACAAAACACGGTTACCTTTTTCCGGCAATTCGCCGGTGATAACTGACGCTATTCTCCGACGAAGAAAACGAGAGGAAAAAAGTGGAGAAAGAATCCAAGGGGAGGAGAGACGGGGGAAACATATATACTTCGGCTTTTGATTATATAAAATTAAAAGAAATAACAAAGGAAAACAAATCCCAAAGCTGCTGCGAAATTAATTATAACTAATTAAATTATGATAATTATTATTACAAATATTTATTTGTCTTTATTTTTTTCATATTTTTTCACATTTTACGTTTCCTTGTTAGAATAAAAACTCTATGAATCTAATAAAATTTTAATTTAGTCCTTAATTATATTTTTATTCAAATTCATGATTTTTTTTAATTTAATTTCTAAATTAGACGTAATTTTCAAATAACGAAACACGCTCCAAAATTACACTGCGTCATTATCTAAATATTAAAAAGGCTTAATACTAAAATAAGTGCCAAAACTATACCTAAATTCTTAAATAGGTGTCTAAACTATTTTTTGACTCATCCAAGTGTCTAACATTACAAACCTTAACCATTTAGGTATCCGGACCGTCAACTACATTAATTTCCTCCATTAAATGACACGTTTCACAATATGGTATTTTGAATTTTATTTTTTCAAAAATATTATATTTATAAAAAACCCTAATTGCTATTAAATTATAAAAGAGCCCAAAATACCTAAAATCTCTAAATCACATCCTTAACCTACCATCGTCTCCTTTCGATCACAATCGCCGTCACCGACATAGTCTCTGTCATTCTCCTAGTCATACGTCGTTGTAGTTGTCGTTGAGATCGATTGGAATCGTGATATGGGTATAAAATGTCGATTCACTGTCGATCAACTATCGATCGGTCACGATTTCATGGGAGTTTTGGTTGCCAGGGGGAGATGAGGTCGGGTGAAGCTTCGTCAGTGGCAAAGGGCGATGGTCGGCGTGGGTTTATGTGTTGAAATGAAGGTTTTTGAAGTTTTTGGGTTATTTTAAAATATTTGTATTTTTCTTTAAAATACATAACGAAGAAAGCAAAAATAAGGAGTCTTTGCGCAAGAAAAATTAGCTGACCTTATTCCCATATATAATGGGGTAAGAGGGAGGTAGGGTAGTAGGCTGCCCCCAACGTCCGTGAAAGACCTCCGTTATGAATTGCCCTCAGTGGGACTCGATCCCACGACCTCAAGGTTAAAAGCCTTGTTCACCACCAACTGAGCTAGACGGGCAAGAAAGATGATCCTAAAGAAAGCAAAAGGCTTGGTAAGTCGAATGCTAGACTACCTGATGGTGTTAAAAACTTATTGGTCCTTATCATGAATTGTTTTGGCTCGACATTCACATATCGAAATCATCGGTTCGGCCCTGTATCATTCACCAGCTCACTAGCAAGGTTGTTGGTTGTTATTGCTCATTCCATTTATAATATATGGATATGAAATTCGACTCAGTTTCCACTAGAAATGCTTCTGCAGTTCTGCTTGTGCTGCTGTAGGTTCACTTTTGGCTCATAGAACATCGGCAAGGGGACAGATTAGAGGGGAAGGTTTGGATCGTTCTTGAATCTATTATCGATAACGGCACAAACGTGAAGGTTAAACTTAAACAAAGAATATCCGAGAAACCAATGCAGGTATTTACAATGTAAGTGCATTTATCTGGCTGTTCTGATGATACCTTGGCTACATGTTCAGTTGCATTATGAACTTTCAAATTGGTTGAATGAAATCACTGCCCTGACGACGCAATATTAGTTCATAGCATGTCGAGGAAGCAGATTCGTTTACGTTTCCTAAAGTATTTATATCTAATATCTGTATTCGATGCATTTTCAGGTGTGGAAATAGATGAAATCATTCATTTTTCGGAATGTAAAGAAGTTTATAAGGCCTCTAGGAAGTGATTGCCAGAAACCGATTAAGCATGAAGAAATAGATAAGACTTGCAGCCACTAATTCATAAAGCGGCTCAGCGATGGTGGAGGTTAGACAGCTGCTCAAACATTGTTTTATTTCAATAAATTTCGTGCAATGAGGTCAAATAAAACACAATTTACGATCACAAAAGAAAGAAAGAAAGGAAAGCAGACTTTGATTAGTGTAAGAAAATGATGAATAAAATCATCTACAATAGTAAGTGGAGGTTAGAAATCATTTTCATGCACTTTCTCTGTAATAATCTTGAACATTTGCAGGCCTTTGCTTAATGCATCATTAAAGAGAATCCTTGTTTGCATCGACTGGAATCCAGGCATCCATGATAAAACTGCCACTGGGGCCATCACAATAACTCCAAATAGTACATCATAGAATCGAGCCACGGAAACCACTGAATCCCAGAGTCTGGTATTCTGAAGAAGGGGTCGGGATACCTAAGCGATCGATATAAGTCCCCAGCCAGTGGGAATGAGAGCCAACAGGCTGGTGAAAATATCAACATATTTGAAGGCTGTAAACTCTCTGAGAGCGATAATGACAAGTATCCCAAGTGTCATCACCAGGGATTCAGCGAGCCGAACATATGTATGCTCCTTTGCCCCGTATTTGTTCCGGACATACGACATTGTTAGATAAATTCCAACTGCCACGAAAATGAAGATCCAAGACAACAGGTAAACAAAAACACTCTTACTTTGACCAGAAATTCCCATATGGTATACAATTCCATATTGGAAAAGAAGAAACAAAGGTTTAAAACAATTTCCAGTAACTTTCCCCAAAGGCTGGTTGTGAGTAAATGGTGCTTCTCCTCGTACCACCAGCTTTCCCAGCTCTGTTCTGCCTTTACAAATACACCACCACGGTACCAAATCCATTTCATGAAATCGTCGAAATCTTCCACAGTATTTAGCCAATCTAAACCGGAAGGATTGAATAGGAAGGGAGCAAATCCATGAGAAAACTAGGAACCAACATGTGACTGCCATGTCTATGTAAAAGAATGTGATCTTGGCTGACGGGGTGTACACTGCATAAACTATAAGAATAAATCCAAATTCGATGGCCTTTATGAAATGACTGCGTGAATACCGTCTGTAATTCTCTACAAAACTTGTGTGTTGCACAACGAAATTACGCCCGGTTTGCCGGTACTTTGCACCCCCATGAAGGATGGTCAGACCGAAGAAATGAGCACGTGTTCCCATTGAGAATGTGTAGAAAACAGTTGAAAGTTGTAGCTGCATGACCAAAAATTCCCAAATGGCTTCAAGGAAACCAGTCTCAATGGAGCTCTCTAGTATTGCCGGAAGGGTAGAAAAGAATCCAAACTGAATGACGAGTTCTTGATTAATAACGGCACTGAGTGCTTTCTTGCTGTTGTTGTCGTTCCCTAGAACGAAATTCTCGACACCACTGAGAGCCAGATAAAGTTGACACCATAGAAATCCATAGACAGAAAGGATGATCACTGTTGTATTGAAGAAATATCCAATTGTTGTGTGAAAAAATGATAGCATCCTGAAAAATCAAGTCTTTGACCCAACCTGTAAACATCTCTGCTGAGGATTTGTTCACCACTCCCACATGATATCTTGGCTTCAAATGTTGATATTTGATTCAGCCCAAGGTCTCTTCCTTTGCCGACCTGAATGTATTCGTGGTGTGTGACACTACCCCCTCTCAAAGTGCAGTTAAAGCCTGCAAAAATGTCCTCACTGATATTAATCGCTTTGGATGCTTTACTAAAGCCGCCACGAGTCATAAACCAAAGCCTGTCGAAGACATCGGGATGACCATAATGCATTCGGATTCTCAGCAGATTTGCGAATAGACATTGGAACAAGGTAACAAAACTCGTTTCCTGAGCTGACATAAACCAAGCAACTGATGAAACCGAGCCAGTGAAAATATGTTCTCTAACTCCCAAGATAGTTGGTCTATTGATACCATGGTGGTACTTGAATTCTTCCAACAAATTTCGAATCTTTAGTGCTTCCTCGAAATAGTTATCTTGGTTCATATCAATAGTTTGAACAGCATCACCACGAGTGAAGACAAAACCATGGTTCTGATTCTCTGGTTTGCCCTCTCCAAGCTTCATTGGGCCAGGTAATTTGATTCGGTAGATCTCCACTTCCCTTTGTAGTTGCCGGTCGTACTTAAGGAGAACAGAGTAATATTCCTTCTCTTTATTCCCTGTTGAATATAATCAACATATGCAATTCGAAGGGCTTCATTGTGCTTCAAAAGATCAGCGATTTCCTCGGCACGAGGGTCCCTTACGAACTTATGTTCCCAATAGTTCTGACAGGAAACTACATATGTATACTTCATCAAAGCAATACCATACTCATGGCCTTTGCACAGAAATCTCGCTGAAGGAATACCTTCCTCTTCTGTAACCGAAATATCTGTATCGGATGAAGAATCGAGAAAGCTAGGAGCTGGAGAGCTCGTTGATAGTACATCATTCCCCTGACGGTGCGTGCAAGTGTCTGACCCCTGTATGATGCCCAAAGCCTTATATCTCTTGATATGATTGTTCTTAAATCATTTGTTACCCATCGCCCTCGATGCATTCTTTGGACAAAGTTTTTCCACTCATCATCATAAATGGTCTGCAAATAGTACAAGATAGAAACCCCATCCTTGTTCTTAGTTTGGAGTGTTTCTGTGCTGTATAATACATCTTCATCATTGAAAGGGGTAAGGACATTGAAAGCAAGCATCTTTTCCACTTGGGGAGCTCGAGGCATTTTCATAAAGAGTGAGTTGCTAAAGAAAGCAAGTCAACGTCTCGCCTCATTATTTACAGGACTGGTCTGCATTGGGTCCTTGCTGGTAAGAATAGTGTGCAAGCGCTTAACCTGCATATAGAAGTTCTTGTTACCAGGATCCGGTAAATCAACCGCATTCTCGAATAGCGATTCGGCCATGGGTGATGCGGTCCTCTTCACTCTATAAAGGTAATGAACATATTCATAAAGTTCCTGCATACCATAAGCAATCTTTTTCACATTCTTGTTGGGTTTAAGCAACAGCTCAAGAAGTTTTATCAACTTGGAATTAACTTGAAGCAACGAAGCCATTCTAAATGTCATAGTGAACTTCCCGATCTCAATAGAATGATCGATTTCTCGAAACAAGGCTTCGAGAATGGAATGCTCCTCTGTATTGTTTTTGATTAGTATACGAAGCATCAAGTACTTAATACTATCATATGTTTCAATCACAGCACATCTCCTATACTCATTATTGCATATCTTATGCCACAACCACTTATCGGGACGATCGATGAAGCCCATAGCCATATCAAGAGCACGTAGCAACTCATTCCCCAAAAGAGAACAAGGCCAACGGATAACCTTGATTCCCCAAGAATTCGGGGGCAACTGTAATAGCTCAACTTCATCGTCAGATATGATATCTTCTTCCCTAAAAGTGGTAATAATTTCATTCCATATAAAAGCAAACTTGTTAGCCTTGACCTGGTTTGATTCGACCATTTTGAAAGGCTGCCTCAGCCCACATCTCAACTTCAGCAGATGAATGGCTTCCCTGAATTTTCCCCTTCCACAACTGATATTTGTTTCCTCTTGTGGCATCAGGTTGGACTGAATGGCACCGGCGAAGAACTGAAACCTGTATCTGAGCTGCTCGATGTTTCTGATCTCACCTAGCTGTTGCATCAACCCCATTGCAGCCCCGACAATCGGAGAATATATCGAGTACCAAATCTGAGTATCTGCCAAGTAAATCAACAGCACAGGAAACCACAACAATCCAATGATGAACTTGTTGCCGACACTAAAGATGGTTTTCCAGTCCCACTCGTACTCGGTAATTCTCGAATCCAACAACTGTTTTGTTGTGCTAATCATGGGTTTAATCTGGAAGAAGTAACTGAATGTAAATTGTGTGCCTAACACCACAACCCAGAATAAAATATACTTGATGCTATCAACTACACCCTCCTTCATCCCCCGACCGATAAAACAATCACCATGGAACCACCATGATATTGGGTAAAGTACTTTACAGTTCAGCGTAATACTTGGAAGGAAAAAGAATACCAATTTCACCAGTTCTGGTAACGCATAAAGAAATGCAAGCCTAAAAAGAGTTACCCTTTGGTTAGCCTCACCAGACCAATGATTGCTGTAGTTCTTTTGCGACCAGATCCTTGTATAACAAGTCAAAAAAGCATAAGTCCATGCCGCAGCAACCAAAATCTTTAGCACCATTCTAAGGCCGAGTCCCGACGTCTCTCTCGAAACACGACCGAACTCCATGACTGCTTCGAGTAAAGCATGGAGACACCTCATTCCACTCCATGTGATGAACAATGTTAGAACTCTAACCTTAACATCTTTGTTGTCCAAAGCCTGCCATGGAAGCTTCTTCCCCTCCCAGGCCAAGATAACCCCAACGTGAAGGAAAAGAAACAGCATCAACCAAAGCCGGTCGAAGCTTTTAAAGACGTTCCAAAACGTCCTTTGTTCGACAAACCTGATTTTCCTTCCATTAGTAAAATCACTGAAATCGAGTGGCCATTTGAGATTCTGAAAACACTTCTTGCTCCGGAAGTACTCGTTGAAATCATCATAGTTCCTCCATTTATCATGAGAGGCAGTTCCTTTTTTGCTTCTCTTCACCTCCAAATGGGATTATGTTGTACGGTTCATCATCCGGGGAGATGGCCGTGAGTCGGGTCCAGACATGGCAACAGGACTGGAGTTGGCCAGTTGGGGTAGCTTGATGGGTTGTAATGGCGTTGAAACTGGGATTCTCAACCAGAATTAAAGTTTGCATAGTGTATAAGATAGTTCTATATTTTATGTCCAATTATATATATAATGGAGTTGGTAGGAAGCTTCATATCTGAAAAATACCTTATTAGGCAGAGACTTAGTTTGTAAGGAAAGAATAGAAAAGAAAATGTCCATGCTTATCCCTAATCAACAGTATCTTTCAGCTAACTTAAAATATTAGAATTGAGGTCATTGTTATTAGATATTGACTTATAATTAAGTATACATTGACTTATTATGGGCTTATTTTGCTATATTAGAAATTTAGAATCATTTCTTATCGGAAATGGATCGAAATATATTTAAATATCACACCTTTAAAAATTTTAAATTATCGTATAATTTAAATATTTTCTATTAATAATCTGATTCTCTTGGAATTTTATAGTTTCACCTACCACCATTCGATTCTGCTGCGTATTGTCCGTCAAGCCTGCGTGCGATACCACCTACCACAATCTCGTGGTGGTGGCCTCGGGCCACCACTTCCCCGGAGTTTGCATGAAAGGTCCATCCACATTAATTTTGATCTGGTTCTCAACAGGTTTGGTCCATAGCTTGTTGAGCTTAAAGGTACCGCACGGGGACGAGGAGTGCCGAAGGTGCATCCGTCAGCTTCCTTGAAATCGGTTCCAAAAGTGTACAACAGTGGCTGCCCTATTTGCAAAGGCTAATCTAATAACTTAATCAACAAGTGTCGAGTATAGTGACAAATCACATTGTATTTTCAGAGAAAGAACTCATGTTCAAAGCTTGAAGATGATATTGTTCAGAGGGAAAGCCACGAATCTCGAATATGAACCGTAAAACGGACATAATGACAGAATCATTATCTTTTCTTCAATATATATATATAAATCCAAATAAAACATGAAAAAAATGGATTCCTAAAAATAAAAAGAACAATTTTTGTCTGCAGTAATGGGCAGACATTGTTCTACAGAGCTGCAACTGAATAATCAGACAGGTTTTGCCTTTTGGATTTATGGGTAAAATGCAAACCTTTTCCCTCTCCCTTCTTATCCTTGCTAGCTCCCTTTGGGTACCTGAGACAGAATGATCGGAAAGATGTTCGGATTAAATCGGTAAACATTAGCAATGCACAACATTCTCAGATAAACATAAAACTGGTATTGGTTTTACCTCGGCAGATAAACTCTTGAGAGGATCTCTGCTTCTTCTGTAACTTTTCTTCGCACCCTGGTGACGACCTGATTTGTTCTCTCCCATTGCAGCCCTGGTCAGCTTGACCATTTTGCTGGCATCACGTGTTTTTTGGTCTAATAGATAGTCGGGCACATCACGAAGATGGGGAGCGGGAGGGTCCTTGCTCAGAAGTCACAACCTTGTCGTGCTTCAACAAATCTGGCACGGTAAAATACACGAGACATAAGGATTCAGGACATCGTAATGAGTAGAAATAACGAAAGCATTAGCCTACGAGTTCGTGATTCTCTAACAGCAACTCTAGTCACACTCCTTGTCACATCCTGCGACATTTCACCTCTCAAAATAAGCAACATGCATGTAATCCATAAACCACTAAGCACTGAAACAGCTGGTTGTTTAATGAAGCAATCCACCCAGATTTATAAAAGAAATCATGGATGAAGCATGAAAACAAAGAATTTGTAACAGCACCTCAGCCCTGTATAGTAAGACTCCACCTCATCCTTGGTCAACAATGAAAATGGCATGATTATATTTGAGTCATTGTCTTCTTCACCCAAGAAGGATTTAAATTTCTGGACTTCTTTGAGTCCACATCTTTGTCCCTAATAGTTTGTCCCTTCTCTTTGTTTGGCTGTCATCAGTTGCCATCAAATAATCAAAAAGCCCGGCATTGAATTCCTGATAAAAGGGGAAAATGCAGATAGTAAGCAAGCACTAAACTGAAAACTGTTAGTCAATATTAGTATGGCAAACAATCACAACATACATCGCATATGGTATTATCAAAGCTTTCATCTTTCAGCTCCAGCATTGCATAAATAACAATGCATATAAAATAGTCTTTTAAATCTAAATCAAATTCATTGAAACAGAACTACTTAGTATACCTCCAGTACATGTAGACGAGAGTTCTGAGGCAACTCAGCATTCAAGATAGCAGACCTGATTCCAAACTGCACACAGTAAACGTTATGAGGAAGCATTGAATTTATGATGACAACAGAATACCTTTTCGAAGAATAGTTTCAGTCTGAAACCAGTATCAATTGTGTTGGTAAAATCGAAACTTTCTTCAACACCAACTCTAACTTCATGAGAGCAAGAACATATAGCAACTTATCACTTGTATTGCATGAAATCTGAGAAACATAAGATAAAGGGGTAAAAGATCAGGAAGCTTATAACTTAAAACTTCAAAGAAGTTTTGCAATCCATCAAAGATCACAGGAGACTACTTTAGGTAAAGCATTGTTCTAAAATAGATCAAAATCAACCAACTGAACGCAATAGCCTTTAAAATTTCCTAATATAGGTTATAGATTCTTACCCGTAACTGCTGAACACTTTTAGGGATAACCTCATCCTTAACATCTTCTGCTTCTGATAAAGTCAAAACGAATGGATTGTGCAGAATCATCCTTTTAAGCTGGTCAACATCCGGGCTGCCAAATATCAAATGCCAAAGTAGAATGATCAGCAGGGATTGGCAATCTTACAT